TGGACCAAAAGGGGCTTTGAAGACAGAACAGTTCTGTCCTTTATTTTATACAAGAGGAAACTGCAACTCCCACCAAGGAAAGAGTGGCCTAGTTTAGGCTTTTCTTTTTCTTTTTTTAAGATTGTATTTATTTATTCATGAGAGACAGTGAGAGAGAGAGAGGCAGAGACACAGGCAGAGGGAGAAGCAGGCTCCATGCAGGGAGCCTGACGTGGGACTCAATCCTGGGTTTCCAGGATTACATCCCAGGCTGAAGGCAGCGCTAAAACGCTGAGCTGCCCTCTAATCTAGGGCTGAAATTCCAGAGTCCTTCAGCATAGGCTTCAATATGTGATTTTGATATTTTATACAAAGTGTAACTTTGCAGTGTGAAACTTCTGCAAAAGATTTATATATATTCAGGGCAGCCTGGGTGGCTCATCGGTATAGCGCCGCCTTCAGTCCAGGGCCTGATCCTGGAGACCTGGGATCAAGTCCCATGTTGGGGCTCCCTGCATGAAGCCTGCTTCTCCCTCTGCCTGTGCCTGTGTCTCTGCCTCTCTCTCTCTCTCTGTCTCTGTCTCTCATGAATAAATAAATAAAATCTTAAAAAAAAGACAAGATTTATATATATTCAAATGTAAGTATGAGATGCATTATAAAACTAAGTATGACTTTTGAATTAGGCATCAGTGTAGTATCATCTTCCCTCCTTTTAAGGTGGGTAATTGGGAATTGACTACATTAAAAGTATTCACAGAACGGTTTTACAAGGAAGGTTAGAATTCACTATCTATACACCTCTAGCTACATTAGCAATTAAAATTCATCAAATATTGTGTCTTAATGCCCTTATCTCAAAATGAGGATAATAATTATTATCTCATTCAATAGGATGCCATGAAGACTAAATATTTAATGGTTGCAATGCATTCTAAATGTCACATAAATAACATAGCAATACATATAGTGACTTCTATCAGGTGAACATTGTAACAAGTTAATATTATACATAACTGATCAAAAAGAGCCAAGAAGGCACAAGAATATTTAAGACATCGGACTGCTTCCAATCATGAGAGCAAGATTTAAACTGATAAATATTTTATAATTATTAAAATAAAATAAAGCAGTCAGGCTCACCCATCAGTGGGGAGTCTGCTTCTCCCCCACTGTTCATGTATTCTCTCTTTCAAAATAAATAAAATCTTTATAAATAAATAAATGAAAAAATTAAATTAAAATTAGGGCAACTATAATAAGTGAGGAAAAATATTAAGGACATTTTACACATTTTAAACTGGTTCTTTATAGGTATTCATTTGTTTTTAAATTAAAAAAAAATTTTTTTTCAAGCAGGCTCCACGACATGGGGCTCAAACTCATGATCCTGAGATCCAAACCTGAGGGGAGATCAAGAGTTAGACATTTAACTGACTGAGCCACCTTGGTGCCCCATATTGTTCACTTTTATTTTTCTAATCTTTTTTAAAGATTTATTTATTTGAGAAAGAGAGAGAGCACATGTGGGAGGTGGTGGGGAGAGGGAGAGAAAGAATCCTCAAGCCAACTCCCTACAAAGCACAGAGCCTGATGATCCCAGGACCCCAAGATCACAACCCACACCGAAATTAAGAATCAGACACCCAACCGACTAAGCCACCCAGGCGCCCCTCATTCATTTTTATATACTATTTCTCACTGGCTGGAAATCTCTCAGAATCTTTTATTTCAATAAAATAATTGTAAATAATATTTGCTAAAGAAGCATTACCATCTGCCCTTCCCACATCTAGTTCTTTGAATAAAGAGTTTTATTTTGAATAAAATACTCAAGGAACAAACGTGGCTTTAAAATACTTAAATATTTTCAATGTTTGGGTAAATTCTATTTATTTTGCTTGGGAAAGCTAAGATGTCATTATGCAAAAGTACCTCCTTGTAGAAAATCCCAGGGTTTCCCTTCTGTCAGAAAGAGCCTTTGGGATCTCCTTATATGTAGTTCAGCTCCTCGTCCCCTAACAAACCCAAAAAGTAGAACACTGACACCCTATCTTTTTTTTAAAATCAATTTCCAAGGCTTCTTTGAAAAATCTCTATTTCTATGTTGCCACACCTTTTTAAATTTCTGCTTTTCTACTAATCTGTTTCCTCTTTTTGTAGTTACAGTAGACACAATTTGCAAGTGAAATTATTACAGTTAAAAGAAAACTCTGGGATGCCTGGGTGGCTCAGCAGTTAAAGCATCTGCCTTCAGCTCAGGGCCTGATCCTGGAGGCCTGGGATTGAGTCCCACATCGGGCTCCCTGCAAGGGGCCTGCTTCTCTCTCTGCCTGTGTCTCTGCCTCTCTCTCTCTCTGTGTCTCTCATGAATAAATAAAATCTTTAAAAATAAATAAATAAGAAAATTCATGAATATCAGAATTTTGCATAAAGATGAATTGTAGTTAGAAAAGGATGGTAATAGTACTGGCCTAGATAACTAAGAGAAAGTGATGTAGACCAATCTGCCCAGCAACTAGCCAATGACTTAGGTGGAGTCTGTCAGCAATTTATTAATTTATGATGTTTCCATATTTATATATAAGTACCTCTATTGAGCTATGTGAAAATTCCTGAGAAACAGCATTTATGTCCATTTTCCTTTTCCATTTATGTCCAGGAAAATACAAAACACACAAAAAAACCTCTTAAGATATTATACCACAAAGGTTAGACTAATTTGTAGTCTTCAAAATAAGGAATGTAACCCCTGAAATGAGGGCATTGTAAGATTTTTCAAGAATACATGGTTTTAAAAGCACAAATAGTTTTAAGATCTGTTAGTTTGAAGGAACTGATTTTTGGATGCTAAGTATGCAAATAAATACCTTCCCTAAAACTGCGAGGGCAGAACTTTTCTAAGGAAAATAATCAAGGATGTAGGATTTGACTTTTTTGAGAGAGAGAGAAAGAGAGAGAGAAAGTGTGTGCACAGGTGCATGCAAGAGCAGGGAAGAGCAGAAAGAGAGGGAGAGAGAATCCCAAATAGGTTTCAAGCTCAGTGTGGAGCCAGATGTGGCACTTGATCTCATGCCCCTAAGATCATGGCCTAAGCCAAAATCAAGAGTCAGATGCTGACTGACTGAGCCACCCAGGCACTGGGATTTCTGACTTTTAAAGGAAAGTCTGTCACATTTTTTTTTTTAAACATGAATGATGATGGTTATCAAATAGGTATGGTAAATATTCTATTGAATATAAAAATAGTATTTTATTTTTAAATGTCAATATTCACACTACCCTCAAAATTACATCTTTTGCGAACGCTTAACTTTATTGTTGAAAAGTTTCAGCTGTCAACATAAAAACATACATGGAATCAGACATTTCTTGATCCTCATTAGAGAGATGGTGAGTGGGGGGAAAAAGTTTGAAAGCCACCAGACTAACTCAGGCCAAAGTTTCATTAACCTCTAATATTCTAGTGTCAAAACTCCAAGTAAGAAGCTATACACATAAATCCTATATACATAAATCCTGGAATGACATAGAGAGGTGAACCTTTTGTAGAGTGGGTGAGATTTGAGCAGAGTTTTATGAATTAAAAGCAGAGAACCTGCAGAACTTGAGAAAAGATAAAGATGCTAGAGCTGAGAGGGAGGGGCCCACAGCTGGCAGGACCACAGGAGAGAGGCAGAGCAGATGTGTGCAGGTGGAAAATGCAAAGGACCTGGGTTTTTAACTCCCAAGAAGCTTGAGTTAAATTGAGATTGTACCACCTTTTGGCTGAGCTACTTTGAAGAAGATTAAATGAGGGGATGGAAAACTCTTCTTGTATTTTGGAGTAACAGCATAGGTTGGTCATTAAGCCCTTCTCAACGAGGAACCATTGAACGGCAGCAGTGTGCATAACAGTCAAAGCACCAGCTCTGGGCCCAACAGATTGTGCTGAAACAAAAAGTGCCATTTCCTAGAAGTATGTTCTCAGCCTGGGTGACTATCTCTCTCTGTGCCCAGTTAGCCTTATGTGTCAAGTAGAGGTAATTGAGGTGCCCACTTTACAGGGATATTATGAAGATTAAGTGAGCTAATGTATGTAAAAGAGCTTAAAATCATGTTCAAAGCTTTATTGGTGGTGGTGGTGGTATTGTCATGATTACTCTCTGATTCTGAATGTCAAACGGATCAGGAGAATACCAACCACTAATAAGTCTTTGTTGTATTAAGAATCTTTAAAAAAAAAAAAACAAAAAACAAAACAGGAGGTGGGCAAGGACAGGCAGCTAAATCTATAGGAGGGTTTTAATAATAAAAGCTTAATATGGCTCCATGATTTTGCGGCATAAGTACAGGACAACAATCCAGGGAAGTTTTCTGCTGTTGTAACTAACAAAGTAACAAATATCTTTTTTCTTTCCTTAAAGGGCCCAAACCCCAAAGCACACTGCAATTTGTTCTATAAAGAATACCTGCAATATATTCAGTAGGACTATATTTGGTTCTTACAATGACACAATTTGTTAGAAATAATTCTGCAATATGGTAGGAATATTTTGACCTTACCTAAAGGAGTTCCAACACTGAAGTACCAAAAGACATTTTAAAATATCTTTAACCTGTTATTAAACACCCCAACCACAGAATACAAGGTAGCAGTACTATACAAGCTTTTTGAGCTCTAATTGTAACTAATGCATCCCTACTCCTGACTTTTCAAACCTCATTAAGGACATATGGCATAGTTTTATAGAAATTATTTTAGAAATGAGAAGTTTAGGTTAAAATCTTAACCAAAATATGCAAACACAAAGATCAGAAATGTGTTTTTTAAGAAAAGCATCTTCAAGACTATGTTTTAAATTTTAAAAGGAAGCTTGGATAACTACAACCAAAGGGTAATGTGCCAAACAGATTGTACTGCTTTCTGATTTTGTCGGCATCCTACTGAAGTTAAAACTCGGAATATGCATTCTGAGGTTTTGTTAACAAAACATATATATTGAAACTAATAGATCAGCATTAGGAATTTTATAACTTACAAGTATGTCTGGCCAGTGAGTAGTTGGATCCACCACTAGTCAAGCCAAATCCCTCAGGAATTTGACTAGAGCTTCGAGGTCTGGTCAACAATTTAGGAGGTTCAATTTCAGCACCAAATTCAGCTCCTATTACTCCTAGTAAAACAATAGCAGTAGCTTGCTTCCGTCTTTCTTCATAAGATGTGGAAATCTTCTTCATTTGTGGAATACTTGACAAGCAACCTGAAAACAAAATATAAGTTAAAAAATATCGATACACAAAAGACATGTAATAATAAAAAAATTCAAGATTACTCTTTCAGGAAATACCATTCGATAAAGGGTACCGAGATGACTTGTTATCCATCTGCAAAAGAATTAATTTGGGCTTCCACCTTTCACTACACAAAAAATCAACTAAAAATAGATGCACAGTACTAAATATAAGAGCCCAAAATAACTTGCAAAAGAAAACAGCTGTACCTTCATGATCTTCAATAATTTATTTTCAGTGCCTTGCTTTTAATTAAGCTTTTTTTTAAAAAAAAAAAAGATTTATTTATTCCTGAGAGACACAGAAAGAGGGGGAGGGAGAGAGGGAGGGAGGGAGGGAGGGAGGGAGGGAGGGAGGGAGGGAGGGAGGGAGGGAGAGGGAAAGAGGGAGAGAGGGGCAGAGACACAGGCAGAGGGAGAAGCAGGACCCATGCAGGGAGCCCGACGTGGGACTTGATCCCAGGATTCCAGGATCACACCCTGGGCCAAAGGCAGGTTTTAAACCGCTGAGTAACGCAGGGATTCCCGATCTCCAATAATTTCTCAGATATAATACAAAAAGCACAAGTAATTTTTAAAATTTCTTTAATTGGATTTCATCAATATGACAAATTTTTACACTTGAATGACAGAATCAAGAAAGTAAAAAGACAATACACAGACTGAGAGAAAGTACTGTCAATTAAGTATCTATAAGGGATTGTATCCAGAATATACAACAAACTCCTACAACTTTTAAAATGGGTAAACAATTTGAATAGATATTTGAAATACGATGATATATGAGTGGCCAATGTGCATATCAAAGATGCTTAACATCACTGGTCATTAGGAAAATGCAAATCAAAACCACGATGAGATACCATTTCACATCTACTAGAATGGCTGCAATAAAAAGGATTCTAAGAGGTGCTGTCAAGTATGAACAAAATGAATGGACTGCAGGTGAAAATGTAAAAAGGTACAACTACTTTAGAAAAGTTTGGCAGTTACTTATTCAGTTTGGCTTTCTATTTCTTCTTGAGTCATTTTTGATAGCTTGCACTTTTAAAGGAATTACTTATTTGATGTGAGATTATCTGTAGTATTCTCTATAATGAAAATATTTCAAATGTATCATTCCTATGGATCCCTTTAACTATTTATGCCTTCTCTAATACTTGTTATGCTTTCCTTGATCAGTTTTGCTAGAAATATATATTTTACTAGATTTTCAAAAAATACTTTGGTGGGGTGCCTGGTGGCTCAGCCTGTTGATCATCCAACTCTTAGATAATGCCTTCAGCTCAGATCATGATCTCAGGGTCATGAGATCAAGCCCCTGTGTTGGGCTCCTCGCTTAACAGGGAGTCTGCATGAGCGTCTCTCTCTCTCTCTCTCTCTCTCTCTCTCTCTCTGCCTATGCCCACCCACTCATATGCTCTTTCTTTCTCAAAAAATTTTATAAATATTCCAGTTTTGATCTTAATATTTCATTTCTTTTATTTCAGCAATTTCTGTTGTTATTTTTATTATTCCTCCTTCATGTTTTCTCTGTCGGTTCTTTTTTTTAAGATTTATTTGACACATACAGAGAAAGAGAGAGAGCACACACACAAGTGTGGGGTGGGAAGCAGAGGGAGAAGCAGACTCCCTGCTGAGCAGGGAGCCCAATGTAGGGCTTGATCCCAGGATTCTGGGATCATGACCTGAGCTGAAGGCAGAGGCTTAACCAACTGAGCCATTCAGGAATCCCTCTAGGTTCTTTTTAAAAATCTACTTTTAAGTAAATTCTACACCCAACATGGGGCTTGAATTTACAACCCCAAGATCAAGAGTCACAAGCTCCACCCACTTAGCCAGCCAAGCACCCGTTTTGTTTCCAGGTTCTTAGGATAAACACAATTCACTTATTTTCATAACCTATTATGGTTAATGTTGCCAATCACAGAATCAACATTCATTTTCCTCTCCTTTAATAATACAACTTCAATTTTTACTGAGTAGTGATATGTTTACATCTTCTCGGGGTCCTTTCAAGAAATGTCAAATCTACAGCCTAGATCCTGGCTTTAAGCTTTACTCATGATATATCTTAAGTCCTTTTTAGCTCACAGGAGCCAAAAGCCTGCTTCTGGAAAGCAGCTAAGGGTTTCAGCCCAGATCATTTCTATTTTATTACTTGTCCACAGAGATATCTATCTTTCTGGAGACTAGTTATGTCTTTTTGATTTTCTGTTTGTATATCTTATCCATCATCGCTATATATTTGGTACAGAAAAATTTTAAAAAGTGAACTTTTGGAGACACCTTCACTGGAGGTCAGCTTTCTACTCTTTTCAGCCATCCATCCAGCTTTTCTGACCCCTTTCAAGTAGTCTGTCTCTATATTAATAAAATCAATATAACAAAGGGCCCTCAGAGCTCAGAATGCCAAATAGGAAATTAACAGCAGGAACCTCTGAATGCTTTTAGATGTTATTTTATTTTGTCTCTTCATTTACTTTTTCAATATAAACTAACTGGAGGTAAGGCAAGGGAATGACAATATGAGAAGCTATAGGTGGACCAACCAAATCAAGAGAGACTTCTGCAGGGCAAGCTGAAGACTTTTAACTTTTGGTTAGTGAAAAGGTGTTAAATAATTTCATATAAGGTGGTGATATCAGATTTATTCATTGTTAGAAAGATCATGATAGTGGCAGGCGGGAGGCAGATTATGAGGTAAAATAAGACATGTCCAGTAGAACCAAAAGAAGACTCCTGCAACAATCAGGTTAAAAACAGTAAGTACCAGTCGTAGTAGGAATTCATTAATTCCATCAGTTACTCAGTCTCAATATAAGAACTGAAGATCTGGCGTATTTGTGGCATCATGCTTGCTGTGAAAAGAGATGTGAAAAGCAAGTTCACTGTCCTCTTTGAACTTAAAGGCTACTAAATAAGAATCAGAAATAGGTTACAGAATCAATGAGAACATTATGAACTGAGAGAATAGTATGTTTAAGAACCTAAAAAATAAAGTAATTTGTTGACTTCTATTTCAAGAAGCAGTAGTTGGGCTGCAAGCCTATGAGACAAGAGAAAGACAGAAAATGGGCAAGGGAGGCAGGCAAGGGCCAGACAGACCTCAGATGGCATCATAGATCATATTCACATTTTAATTCTTATTCTATAAACAACAGGAAGATACCCAAGGTAGAATTTAAGCCACAGAATGATGTAATTAGATCTAGGGGTTCAGAGGATATTGTGGAAATCAAAGTGAGAGATTAAGACTAGTTTAGTCTTGGGATGTCAAATAATGCTAAGTAAATAGGAGATGCAGAGAAGCGGGTATCTTTAAGATCCATGGTGAGTCCTGAGTAAGTTGGTGAAAACACTGCAGATTTTAGATGTCATACCTTAAGTTCTTTTAAAAATCTAAATTAAGACAATTATCAGAATTAATTAAGACAAAATTAGAACAAAAAGTAAAATATTTAGTAAGAATTTTGGCAAAAGTTAATTAAAACAAGAGTAAAAACAAAGCAAAAGAAATCCTTTCAAGGTAAGTAGGTATGGCCTTTCCAGAAGCTTAATAAAAAAACCACCTAGAGCACAAAGTTCTTTAATATAAACTTTAAATTGCATTTATTTAGCCGTGCTGAAAGGCAGAATGGGTGTGAGTGAGCAGACCTAGTTGAGCCTAAGAAAAGGAAGTGGCAGATATTACAAAGAATTTAATAGTTGGAAAGGAGTAATTGTATAAGAAAGTGGCATTAAAGTACTTATAAAAAAACTAAGAAAATTAAGATGGTAACATCAAAGAGTGGTTACTGTTTATCTGGAAAATAAGAAGAGTTTGGTTCATCTGAGTACAAAGAAAGATTTGTTGTTCCTGTTGTAGTTTCTTAGCTTCTGCATGTCACTTTTGCTTAAAAAAAAGTTCTGAAAATTTGCCATTAGTTTTCACGCACTGTATTAGAAAGACAAAAGCCAAAATGAGTCCAGAGAATACACTGGTCTTTAAAAATATTGTAATTCTTTCATGTAAAACTTTAGTTATTATTCATTACTCTAATTTGTTAAATTTTTTTGTAGTCTATTTCAAACCACTTGCATGCTACAAGGATATTCCTTCCAGCCTTATAAAATTACTTTATCACTTCCAAGGTCATGATCACTCTTATTTCATGAATTCACATTTCTTATAAAAAAGGTTCAATTAACATTTCAAAAATATTTAAGTAACATTCAGAAATATCTTCTAATCAGATACCACTGATTCTCTCTCTTGATGGTTTTCTTCTAGTTTTTTAAAGGTAAAGAAGCGTTAGTAAGAGTGTTAGTTCATATGGGCAATGACAGATTCCAAGTGTGCCACTGATCTGTCACAGTTCCAATAACGAAAGTAGGGGAGAAAGCTAAAAGCTTACCCATACTAAGAAGAAACAAAATCAATAACCACTGCCCCTGTGTTTAGGAGGGTGAAAACGAACCCAAATTCTAGAGAAAGGAATATCTAACAGATTGATAATTTGTATCTCAGTACATGCATTTAAAACCAACTTTGAGTACAAGCGCGCGCGCGCGCGCCACACACACACACACACACACACACGGGAGTGAGAGCTCGGCGCAACTGCATCTAGCTTCATGTAGTAGATATTTCACTCTTTCCATAGTAGTCTTGAAACAGGAAGCAAATCGAGTTCCCCTCCCCCCATGTCTCAGCAAGAGCATGCTCCATAACAATAGTTCAAAGGAAAGCTCTATTCTGCAGTTGCACTGATTGTTCTGTCAGCTGACCTCTGCAGAAGGGAATTGCTAACCGCTGCCTTGCTCCTTAGCTGACAAATGAATGATCGCAGCTCCATCTATTTTCACTATGGCTGCCTCTAGCCCAGGTGCTCAGACAGAGAGCCCGGTGTGACATCTTAGATCAAGATGAATTGGCACAAACTCCTGATCCAAGATTGTTTTATACCATTTAATTTAGTTTCTTCCCC